TACATATTTCATGGGTCCCACAACAATTCAACCACACATTTCAAAAACTTATATCATCTACTAAAAATCTAATTTTAATCTCCACCAAACACCCTCTAAATATCTTCTCACGAAAATGTTTTCCATTTAAATATGAGGCCCCGTTTGATTGCAACGAATTCTATGAAAAATTCCATATTCGAGAAAAACGAATTTCACTTTGACCGTTTGATTGCAACGTGGAAATGAAAATCAAATTCCAATGCATAATCACTTTAAACTGTATTTTCTTTATTTTAATGGAAAACGAATTGCTATGGATTTGGTAGATTTTTATTTTCCAACTAATATGGAATTAGAATTCCTTTCCACCTTTACCTATCAAACGGATCCTTATAGTGTTTTGTTCAAGGAAAAACAATTGATTGATAAATTTAGTGAAAATCAATGTGTTTTTTTCTTTTGCAATAGTTTTATAGGTATTTAGCGATGAATGCTCCTTTATTTTCTCGTCCTTTTTAGCTTAAGATCAAGGTCCAGGCTCTAATCCTGCCCCAACTGCCCTGAACTTATAGCATGTTTCTATCAACTTTTATAAATTTGACATGACTTTTAAGATAAAAAAATTACTTTTAAATTTGTTTCATTAATTTTATAAAAGTAATTCTAATTAGAATTTTTTTTTTTTAGAGGAGATTGACCTAATATGGTTATCTCTAGACTCTTTTGGAAGAGAAAACTCTTTCAGCAATTAGTTTTAAATACGAATGAAGTTAGATTCATCGACAACCTCTTCTACAAAACTCAGAAATCTTGTCAAATAGGTCATAAGACGATTAGCGTAACAGTTGGTTAAAGAAAATAGAAGGCCAGGAAAAGAATAATTAGAAAACAAAGAGCCCCTTGGTCGGTCCCCAACCCCTACATTTTTCATAAAATGTGACTTAATTATTATTAATAACATAATCAAAAGCTAATGATGCAATTAGGCAAAGTCTGTGGGGGTATTGTCTAGTCATGACATCCACATAACAGTTGACAATTGACTTTGCAGAATTTGTTTTCTAGCCAATTCACCAACTGGTAAAAACTTTAATCTTACGTTTTCCTTTTATTTTCAATTAAAAACAAGTTTTTTTTTTCTTCTCTCTCTCTCTCTCTCTCACATAATGACTAGTTTGGTACAATCCTAACTTCAATAATGAAATTGGAACACGAGCTATATAGATGCCCCGTTGCGTTAGATTTCTTGAAGGGAAGCCTATCGAAATTCGACAAATAGATGGGAAACATAAACAAGAATATAATGACTCTCGTAGAACAATTTTTTGTTCGTGGAAATATTAAGAACGAATTTAAAAGTTCAGTGATTGTTTGAGTTTTGATGCTAGTGGTAATTGTCAACTTACAGTTGTTATACGGGGTCTCGTATGCTAGTAGTTGTAGTAATTTCAGCTTCAAAAGTATATATTTAGACCCTGTTCGGGAGGGATTAAATTTTTCTACAATAAATCAATTCTCATTTCCAACCACACATTCTTCAAAAAAATAATATTTTCCATCGCGTCAATAATGTTTTCTTCTTTTTCAACCACATATTTTCCATCATATCACTATGCAAAATCAATTCTTCCCCCAAAAA